TTTCAAGAAAAAATCTATATATTGTTATTTATATATGTGGACGTGGGAGTAGGTGTACGTTTGGATTGCACAGAACTGAGATTAGAGAAATTCAGTCTCACTAAATATGAATTAATATCGTCTTAGATTCAAATTATGCATGTTTAATTGGTCTTTAAATATTCCAATCACATCCTTTTTTTTCCCTTAATTTCTCCAAAGGGGCCAAAATGGATTCAACAAATATAGCATTATATTTATGAAATTAGCTTAAGGAGGAGACGTCATTGTTTTGTATTTATTTATTTTTTTTTCTAATAATGATGATTTCCTTCGATGGAATAATATGCGTGTGTCGTTAGTCGTGTTTGATCTTAGATTTTAAAGAAATTTTTTATTATTATGTTTTAAATGATTAGACTTGTTGCAATTTATAAAGAAATCATGACACGGTCATTTCATAAGATAATAAAGACTATCTAGTAACTTAAAAAAGATGTGTTGTTAATTAGATTATCCAAACACTTAAAAAAGCTAGAAATTATTGAAAATGATCCTTAATGCAGTCTTAACAGTTTTTTTCTCTTTTTCCTTTTCTAAAAAAGAGTTGGTCCGACTTTCAATTATTGACCTTATTATTGAACAAAGATAATTAAAGTGATGAAATTTGAACATATATAAAACCAGTACTACGTTGTTGTTGTTGTTCTTATTATTATTATTATTATTTGAAACTAAACGAGTACTACATTAATTGGATGGCGTCCCGTCAATATTTTGTAATGTGGGTAATTAGTCCAATCTTGTTGGATAATTAGAGAGAAGAAAAATTAAGGGCCCAGTTGAATGGAACAATGATATGGCTGAACGATCATTTTGACACTGTTTTTTTTNTAATATTAAGCAACGTTCAATTTGGGGAGGAAATGCATTATTAGAGAAGAAATGAAGAAGATATATACATGGAGCCTTTTTTTCTTTTGGATTAATAATGGATGGGGTGGGGTTTCATTATAACTCTTGCAAGTGAAGAAAACAACAGAGACACCATTCTAATTCTTCTCCTAAAACCATCAACCTTTATTTATTTATTTTGATTTGATGTTCATAATTTCCATCCTTACCTACTTCCCACCCCACCTCTCTCTCCATTCAGAAAGCTCTGGAATAAATAACATAGATGGTATATAGCCAAATTTTCTGTCAAACGTAACAAAATTCCAAAAAGTTTTTTTTTATTAGTACAACATATCGAGGAGGGAATTCAAACTCACAACCTCTTGGTTGGAGATATATGCTAATTAGCGCTGAGCTAAGTTCGCTTTGACAATAAAATTTCAAAAAGTTGATTACCCGTTGAACTAATCATCTTATTTTTAATAATATGGTTCGGGGGAATGAGTTAACTTGTTTAATTATTAAGAAATATTGTTTGTTTTGTGGTTTAATTTTTGAAATCTTAGTGAATTTTTTAAAAGAGGAATTTCACTGATATGGTATAAATCTAATGTATTCAAAAAAATTTCACACCTTTTCATTTTTTTTCTCTTTTTTCAAATATAATATAAGTATTAAGTGTATATTACATTTTGAGTTTGAGTTTGGGTTTAATTTAAATGGTGCTATTTTTAAAACACTTAAACTTTATACAATTTAAATACATATTTATTTTATGTTATTGGTGCGAAGGCTTCAAATTAAAAGAAACCAATTGAAAGACATAGTAAATGTACAATATGTGAGCTTGTTTTATTTCATTTTTCATTTCTAGTCATTTCTATTTTTCTAAAAAATGGGCATGCCTACTAAAATTGCTTACAACTTTTCATTTATTTTAAATTATAAAGTTTCCAAGGGATTATGACTAGAATTTAGTAAAACAATTGATTACTGTCTTTTTTGTTTCTTCTTTTTACGCTTTCGAAATGTTGATAAAATTACTATTTTAAGAGTTATTTATTAATAAAAAAAACAGTTTTTATATGTCGTTTGCATTGCAATTACAAGGTGTGGTTGGTGATTTGAAAATTGAAATATGAAAACAAGAGATTCAATAAAAACTAAAAAAACTAAAGTTAGTATATTTTATATTTTAATAAAAAACAGTTGTATTACCTATGTTTTTTGTATTTTTGGATATGTGCTTGGTATAAGCAAATTTAAAGATTAACTCTTAATTTAAAAAATTGTCCGGAATGTTTAATAATATATTAATAAATTATTGGTAATTTCCAACTAATTTTTAATTCAATCTAAAATATTATTTATTAATTTCTTAATATATATGTTATAAATTTTGTAGACTTATTATTTTACGATATCATATATATAATATATTTTATTTAATTTTTAATTTTAACAAAAATGAGACGAATTTATAACCGAAATAATATATTTATCAAAACTTTGATGTAATTCTACTTTTTAAAATTTCAAATTCAAAATCTAAAAATACTTAAAACATAAAAATGTTACTATTTGATTCGAGTGAGTTGTAGAACAGAAAAGAAGAATCCGAATAGCATAATAAACAGATAACATGCTTATTTTATTTAATTTTTTTGGCCAGGAGGGGAGGGGTGGAAGACAGATGAAAATGACAAAGATTCTATTCAATTCAACAACTATTTTATTTTGTGTTTTCTATCGCTTAAAAGAAAGTTTTGCTTGGTGGATTTTCAGAAACAGTTTATAATTATATTTATATGTTTATATTTTTAAATTTTAGTTAAGATTTCAATAATATTTTTAAGAGACAAATAAGAAAGGGCATACACATTAATTAATTCACAATGAAGTAGACTGTTGAAAATGAAATAGTTACAATCCCTGAACATCTCTGATTTTCATTTACATTATTATAGCTTTATAATGTGAATACAAAAACAAATCCTATTTTTTGAATATATATATAATATTAAAGTTTTAGTATTAATTTTAGGCAAGTGTCCATTTTCAAAACAGCTTTATGTTAAGAGAAATTGTCATTAAATCCACCGGAAAAAATAAAAATAAAAAGAAAAAGAAAAAGAAAAAGAAGAAAACAACACCTTGTTTGTTTTGTCGGCTGGGATTATGAATTCTAATCCACAAGACTGAGCACAATTTTTTAAAATCTTAGTTACTAAAAAAAAAAAAAATCAGTAATTTAAACTACAGGGGAAATATTCAAACACCATACCTAAAAGTAATTAACATAGATACACAGTATATATCTGCCGGCCTAAAGATATGTAATTAATAGTAATTAATAAGATAGTTCACATTTACTATAATTCGCTTCATTATAATTTGGCTCTATCTTCCCCATTCATCTATAATAAAATATGGATAAAATTTCAAATAATGAATTGAATTCCATGCTTTGAATTATTCAACCAAGCCTTTTTTTTTTTTCCTTCTTCTTTTAAAGAACCCAACTTTATGGTTAATGTTATAAAATATTGGCAAATGCCTTGGAAAGAAAAACAAATAAACCAAAGTTTGGTGGGAAATGGGGAAAGGCAAAAACAATCTTATTGGATAACAGTTTACGCAACACTACTATGCGGGGAATATCCAATGCACCCCATTGGATGAATACCTTTAACTTGCAAATTCTATGAAAATGGATGGGATAAAAAGATGGGCTTTGAGAAAAAAGTTGAAAATAATATTAAACATATACTTTTTGTTGGATTGCGATCGAGTTTGGGGTCATACACTTGACTCTTCTTTTAAAGTTTATTACAACAATATCCACATTATTCTAATAATTATGAAATCTATCTCACTGTTAAGTAAAAATTTATAATCACATCAAGAGATATTCATCATTAAGCTCGATTTAATTTATTCTATTTTAAACTTATATATCTTAGACTAGGCCTAAATTTGCACACCTGCTTTGAGTCAAACTTCAAATAAACATTCAAATTTATTTAAGTAATTCAACACCATGGTCGTGTTAAATAAAAGGGGTTTAAAATAAGTAAATAAATAAATATATATACATATACATATATTTATTTTTTTCAGTTAGGTTTGATTTATTTTAATTTTATAGGGCAAACAAAAAAATATCAATGGCTCCAAGAGTGGAACCGAAGGCATAAACCAGTAAATATGGTTTGGTATTTTTGTTTTTGTTGTTGCTTCTTTCCCTTTATTTTTATATTTTCTTTTCTTTTGGGTTTTATAGGCACGGATACCCCACCATATTATTCAAGTCATATTGATCAATAATTTGGCTCTTTCTTGATGAGGTGAATTAAAATACTTAATTTAATTACAATGTATCCTCTTTTTTGGCTCGAATTAAACGTTAAAGCCATTAACCACTAATTTGTTTGTTTATTACGCATTAATAGAGATCCCATATCTCTAATACTTTGAGAATTAATAAGAAATTGTAGAAAAAAAATAAAGCCCGTAAAGTTCAAAGAGGCAACTGCCCCCTCTCATAAAGTAAGAGACGTCACACAAGGAATTATAGAGATTACATATTATGGAAATAATTGTCACACGCTTATAAAAATAGGCTTCACATCTTAAACAAATATACAGCGATTCTCCCTTTTCCGTATGTCTCGTAATATCTTTTAAAATGACAACCGTAACCCTTAATATGGCGGTAACATATAAAGTTCGGAGATGTACATTACGGACATTTCGCAATTTCATTGTAATTGAACATCTGGAATGGTTTAGTTATCAATTCAATTTGTTTACATTTCCGAAAAAGTTATTAAGACTTGTTAGATATATAATGGTGGCCCCGTGCATCTGGAAATTTGAAAGAACAAAGTCATACTGATTTGCCAAATAAAAAAATGAAATGGAAAAAGGAAAAAGAAGGAGCGGAAGGAAAGAAGAAAAAAAGCTTAAGCGGAGCCATTACTAATAAAGCTAGTCGCTGATCTTTCTTTTACACACTATTAGTTGCTTCAAAAATAGCGTAGCGAACCCCACCAATATATATATATATAATTTTTTTTTTCTCTAGCAGCTTTTTTTTAGTTTACATAGAGGGGAGAGAGAGAGAGAGAGAGAGAGAGAGAGAGAGAGAGAGAGAGAGAGAGAGTGCTGAGAAAATTGGTTCTTCTAATGGTAACGTTGTGCGGATTTTGCTTGTTTTAGCAATTAATGAGGTGGTTGTTATTTAATTGGGCGTATTGCGAAATTGTTGGCGCAGGGTGGTTTTGTTGTTCGTAAGCGAATTGTCGTTGGAGTTGCCGGACTATTAATGCTCGTCGGCTGTACAAAAGTTTCTGCCGCAGAATTGTGTGTTCTGTCTGGAGGTGGTCGTTTTCCGTCCGCACCCGGTTCAGCTGATAAACCGTGAACCGCAACCGGTTCGAGAGATCCCGGTTTTCCACTCTCAGCTTCGTCGCCAAGTTCCTTAGGTTTTCTAAGTGCTTCTGTTTACGCATGCGGGACCGCCTCGCCGACTCCCGGTTCGAGTCCATCCGACGCCGTTTTCGCTCGTCTATGATGTCGGCCTTCCGGTCCGGCTCGAATGGACCGGGATTCATGGCTTCCGTTTCGTCCTGGTTTGGGCCTTGGTTATCGGAGCTGGAACTCGAAATCACCGGCTTTGGAGACTGGAAAACGTCCGAACCGGCGGGTTCCGGCAGCTGGAGCGCCGTCGGAAAAAGTTCGTGGGATTCCCACGGCGTGGTGGCCGTGTCGAAGGCCGGAAAGGGGTTTCCGAGCATGGACTCGAAGGTGGGAAAAGTGGACAGCATGACGGCAGGAAAGAATCTAGTGGACAAAATAAAGGAGGAGAGAGGGAGGAGGAGGAAAGGGAAGAATTGCAGCGTAGAGGCCATGTATTTATTGTGGAAACGCCGGGGGTATTTTCAGAAATCACGTTAATAAGTGAGGGTATTTTGGTCCAAGAATCAAAGTGGCAATGTAGTGGAAGTATGTAAGCTCGCTTTTCTTTTAGCGGGACAGATGGGTGATATAAGCCAGTGGGGCCATGACACTGCTGCACCGGTGATTAGCTTCGTAGTGAAGAAACAAACCCCCTGGGCTCCACATATTCCACGTGGCCACGTGTAATTCGAGACTAACGTCACACCCAATTCTTCCAAATTAATTTAATTCTACACTTACATCTGTATTAAAAAAATATATTATAAAATAAATACAGATTTTTCCTTCACAAAAAAATAAAATAAAAGATATAATCGGAACTCATGAGGCTCGTAAATTCAGCTTAAGCTGTGATAAAAGCGACGGTCGCGTCGGTTAAAGCCGCGGCTTCCACTACCAACGGTGTGGAATATGTAAAAGGCTGCAGAACCAGAGGGTTAATTTGTCATTTTACATATTGATTATTTGTTGATTATGGAATAAGTTTAGCCTAAAGTTTGACTTTAGTGTTCCATTTTAAATGTCGAGCATATTATTAATATTCTAGCCTTCCGGGTGAGATAAAGAAGATTCTGAGAGCGTTATGTACTGAAATAAAGATTCCTTTTATTATTATTATTATTATTATTAACATATGTTTCGTGAAATTTTTTTTGTTTAGAAGTGTTATTTTCATTACAAGGAACCACGAGCAACACAAAAAGTGGGATTCAATGAATTTTAAACTCTTGAAAATTTGGGTTGAAGAAAGTAATTTGGAGAAGGGAATTTGCATTGGAAAATGGAGAAAAACGAGGAATAAACAGGTAGCCGTCAGGTGAGAAAATTTAGCAGACAGGAAGCCGTCCTTAAAAAAGTTAGCCTTATAATTCCATAGAGTGATAAAGATATTGGGAGAGAACAAATTCGTATTAATTTAATACCACAAAATTTCTAACTTTAAAAAGGGCGGAAGTAGAATATTTGCTCAATCTAAAAGCTGATTGACTAAAACTGGCAGTTTACTTGTTAAATACTCCATGCACATATATAGGTATTTTCAGAAGCTTTTGCTAGGTTATTTAAAAGAAGTATTAAAATTCTTGTATTTCTTTTTTGTCCTTTAAATTTGCAAAGCTGCAGGAGTTGGAGCACAACAACCTTAGAAGATTCGTGTGTTATTCGGAAATTTTATAAAAGGAGTGGTTGGGAGTTGAGAAGAAAGCAGAAACTTGGCCAATCATCTCCACGAAGAATTCGGAAGACTTAGGCCACCCAACCCAATCCCAATCCCAATTCCATAGTAGGCCTCATGTGGAAGACACCCTTTGGCCATAAAGATGTTTCTTTTTTTTTTTTACTTAATTTAGTTAATGCAACTTTAAAAGTAACTAAAGCATTCCTCCTTGTGTTTGGTGTAATATAACCCAAACTTTAATCCACTCATATCCATCTAATAATATACTACCCATTACGTATCTATTTATGATTTTACCTAAACAAAACTCATATAACCAATTAGTCTTTACCATCCATGTTGGCATTATTATTTTTCTCATAATTAAGGTGATGATTAAGATTTGGGGAATTAAGAGCTTAAAAGGAAAGGAATAAAAAGAAGAGATTTAACTTTAAAATCCAGAGAGAGTGGGAGAAGAAATATCACATGGAAAAAAATGTAGTAAGGGAAATGGAGGGTAATTAGCTTTCTGTGGTTGCAGAAAAAAGTTAGTCCATTATGGGGAAGGAGTTTGAATGGAAACTGGAAGGCAAAAATTAAAGCAGTTGGAGTTGCAGTTGGGTTTGGGCTTTAGAGGACCAAATTTGACGCGTGAGATTGATGGGGATAATTGATAATTGATAATTGATATATGAGGAACAGGATCGTCTTTCTTTTGTTTTACCTCTTCTTTTCACTGTTCATTTGTACCTTCACCTCACCTCTTTATTTTTTTCGCCTCTTTTCACATGCTACACTTTAACTTTCCCTCCAAACCATTCGGGTTGCGTTGGATTGGATTGAACTATTCGGGGAGGAATGGCTAAGATTTTTTTAAATTATATGATTTTTTTAATCTTTAATACTAGTTGATGGATGTTAATATGACACTTGGATAAAATTTAGATGAATTTGTTGCTAGTTCGATATGGATTTCAGGTGAAGAATAAAGATAGAAATTAAGATCGAATTAGGTTTAAAAGGATGGACGATCTTGATCGGGTAAAAATATTAAAGATTAAGTCAAAGTGTAATTGCTAGTAGCTTATGCTGTAGATCTCTATAACTGGCAAAGCTGTGACTAGTGCATAACTTGAATCCAATATTTCAAGGTAGGTGATACCGTGTCATTTCTAGAAGAACCATTTAAACCATTCTAATATTATCAAAATTTTTATTTTTATTTTTTATTTAATAGAGGGAAACGTTAATATTCCATAAAATGGTATCAATGGTAAATAGTAAAATATAAGTACATAATGGAAATCTTTTGAAGTTTAGGGAAGGAATATTCACAATAATGTTAAAATTATATAGTGTTCAAATTTGGTAAATATATTTGTATAATATTTTTTTAATTAAAATTAATATATATGCTTTTGACACATTCATATCTTATTGAATCCTTTTAAGGTTAGAGAAATTAATTAAAATAAATATTGAGAATACGTTTTTATTTGAATTCACCAATACATGATAGGTGGATGAGAATTTAAACATCTCATCCCACGAAATGTTATTTTATGTCTTAATTAGTTAAGTTATATTCTACGTAATAGAAATATGGATAAAATATACATTCTAAAATATTAGGTTAAAATGATATTATACATGACCATTTGGAATTTTTTTAGTCATCTATGTATTTCTATGTGCTTTATTTTTAGTCTCCATCTGTTTACAAACACTACCAATATAATTTAGTCTCCAATATTTATTATTCAATAAAATAATAACAAATGAGCTGATGCCACGTCAATTTATTTTTTGTAACCACTCACCTTAGTCTAATAACATATGAGGAACATTTATTTATTCTCAAAGAAAACATGTCATATGGCTCGGCTTAGATGGGCCGATGACATGTAGAGAAGCTACTGCTTTTAATTAGAAATTAATTACGAAAACCCAAATAAGTTTTCGAAAATTCCAAATTTTAGAAACAAATTTTTATTTTTGAAAATTACCTTTTTTTAATTTTTAAAATTTGGCTTAAATTTTGAAAATACAATTTTTAAAGACAGAGGTAAAACAGAGAAATATATGATAGTGTTTAGAAATTTAATTTTAAAAAAATAAACCACAAAATAATGATCAAAATGGAGTTTAAAAAACTGTTTATGTTATAATTGATAATTAATATATCCAAATGTTGCAGGGCAGAGGGAACTTGGAGGGTGAAATTCCTTTTCAAGAAAATGATGGGGAAAATGAAAATGACCTTAATAGTGAATTATTATTTATCAAATTGCATTATTCTATTTGTCCTCTTGGAATTCGACAACTCGCAAGTAGTTTTCTTGAGCGATTAATTAGGTTTAGATATTATTGCCCCTGCCTGTAACTAAAACAAATTACATCACTTTATTAGGTTAATTACATTCCATAGGAAGCTAATTAATTACTTTAACACTACTGCATGTCATCTAGCTTTTTCTTTCTTAAGTTTAATATGATAGGAAAGTAGGGATTCCAACCTCCAACTTTTAGTTGATGATATATATTTTAATTAGTTGAGTTATGTTTTGATACGTTGTCATCCATTGTTATGTTCATCGGTTAAGGCACCTTACTCCTTTTCTTGAGGTTGAGATTTGGATCTCTCATCCCCACATTTTAGAAAAAAGTCGGTATGCTTTCATCTTGTCACTTTTATTAAATCTGTTTATTTATTTATATAGCTATTGATGGATATCTATTTGGAGACTGCTAATCTATATTTTATTGGGAAAAAATGATTTTATTGAAAGCGATGATTATTATTTCTCTATAGGTACTAATTTCTTGTTTGAGGCCAAAATCAGCATAGTTTAAAAATAATTATCATGATATCAAATCAAGAGGGTGTGCGTTCGATCCACCATCCACATGTTGTGGGTACTATTTTACATTGTGTTATGTTCAATTGTTTTTTATTTGGACTTTTTTGTTGTGTCTTGATTTTATTTGGATTTTAAGGCATAAATTGGTTAAAATTTGTAATTAATTTATATTATAATATCAATTAATACTTTCAGCCTATTTGAATTAAATGAAAATTATATAAACCTTTGCAAAGGGTTAGAATCAAATTAAAAAAAAAAGGACAATGTTTATAAAAACTTTTTTATGCCAATTTAAAATCCACGAAACAAACCATGGAAATAGTATTAGACGTATCATTATTTACTACCTTTTGGAATATATTAGGTCTCATTGGTAAGGGATTTTTTTAAGGTAATTATATAAATAGTATAAAATAAATATATGTTTGTAAATATAACAGAAGATTTAAAATTTTACAAGAATAGTAAAATATTATCGAGTCAAACTCGAATGGAAGGTAAAAATAAAACACATAAAGAAAAGTCAAATCTATTATTGTATTTGAAGAGGAAAAAAAAGTTTTTAAAAATACATATTACGTTTATGTTATGGAATGAAATTTCTCTATTTTTTTTTTCTATAAAGATTACTCTTACCTGCTTAAAAACATTTTTAGATCCTAGCAAAAATATTAATCACAAGAAAGAAACTTTCAAGATTAAATTCTTCAGGGATTTGGACTCTGACCGAAATATAAAAAGGAAAAATAAACAAAGAAAAATGTTAATAAACAGATATATTTAAATAACATCATTTTAAAAATAAAATTAATCTTTTAAAACAAAGTATGGATCATGGATGACAACCTAAATTTCTCTGTAAAAAGAATTAAAGAAATGTTTAATTATTTCATCAAGGAAAAAGGGGGCAAAAACAATATTGGGTTCTGTACGGAACTTCAAAGTTTAAAAAGCTTAAAGATAAAAAGAAGAATAATTCTATATCATCGATTAAAATCTCCTTGAATTATTTATATTACATTTTTATTTTT